TTTTTTTTTTTTTTTTTCAAACTCTTTATCTAGTTGATTGTAATATATAACAAAATAGATGCATAAATAATAAATTTAGAAAAGACTCATCTTCAAACATGAAAGTTGTTGTAGATTAACGTGTAATCCTAATTTTACACTATGTACAAACTCTTTTGTAAATTGGCTATAGTTTTTTATTTTTTTATTTTTACTTTCTTATTTTTAGAAAAACAGAGATGGACTGACGAAAGTATAATTACTTGAGTCCATGTGCAAATCAGGTGTCACTTTCACATGTAAAATAACAAATTCAATTCAAGGGTGACATACGTGCCTAATTTTGCTAAGATTGGAGACCTAAATTTTAGAAAAACAAATAAATAAGACTTACCTATGTGTTAATTGTTCGTTAGCAAAGCCATTATGAACTTATAATCCGATAATGGATTGACTTAAAAGGAAGATGTTCCATGCTATAACTAATTTAGATCTATATTCCCCCCTAGAAATCTTTACAATTCTCGTGTCTATTCGAGTTTAAGGACACAATCATTGTAGAAGAATATCTACATTACGTCTCGAGTATATTTGAATAGTTATTATCAGCAATCTCATGGTCCGTTTTGCATGACTTTTGAGAAGTCAAAGAAACTTTTGGATGCGTGTGGTTAATTTTGTGAAAATGCTTATTTTAATTAGAAGCGCTCTTAGAAGAAATTAGGATCCGTTTGATAGACGAAGGTGAAAAGGAATTCCAATTCCATATTAGTTGGAAAATAAAAATACATCAAACCTATATGAATTCTTTTGTCATGAAAACAAAGAAAATGCAGTTTAAAGTAACTGTATTTTGGAATTCAATTTCCATTTCCACGTTGCAATCAAACGATCAAAATTGAATTCGTTTTTCTCGAATGTGACATTTTCCATAAAATTCGTTGCAATCAAACAGGGTCTTCGTTTAATGTAACTTGCTCTAAAAACTCTTTGGGAAGAAAAATTTCTTTTAAAAATTAGTTTTAAAACAGATTGATTAAACTCTTCTACAACAAGAAGTAGAAATATAACTTGCTCTAAAAACTCTTTGGGAAGAAAAATTTCTTTTAAAAATTAGTTTTAAAACAGATTGATTAAAGTCTTCTACAACAAGAAGTAGAAATATTGTCAAACCGACACATAATTTACATAATCAAAATTCTTGTGTCTAACTTATTAACTCGTTTAATAACATTAGAATAATGATTAGCCAATGAATTAAAGTAACTATCTAATTAATGTTTCTATCAGAAACCTTTGTTTATGATGTAAAATATATGTCGCATCATTCATATTACACGTCAGCATCACGTGACGTATAATTATTCCTTGAAAATATAAATTATTCCAGCCTATCCCAATTTCTATCTAAGAAGGAACATACAATTATTGCTTCAAAAAATTAGGGTTAGGGTTTAATTTCCCTGTTTGGTGCGCGTGAAGTTGGTGAAAGAGTGACGGCTTTATATTAATCTCATCAAATAATTTCTTTTAAATGTATATATAGATTATTCACTTCCATAAGTTAAGGGCATAGATTGGGGTAATGGGACCTCCATTACATGTCATTTCATCATTAATTATATCATTGTGGCTCTCTCTTGAATTGATGAGAATTAAGAATTAATTCTGAAACAATAGAATTAGATGTATTTGAAAAGAACAAGGGGGATTGGGTGCATGTAAGTGAATTGATGAGAATTAAGAATTAATTCTGAGACAATAGAATTAGATGTATTTGAAAAGAACAAGGGGATTGTGTGCATGTAAGTGAATTGGAAACATACGACAGGAAGTTACTCGATACAGTGAAACAGTTCCGTTTGATTAAATATCGATAGATAAGGATATAAGCGATGAGAGTTCGGAGTTCTAGTTCTGACATGGAACTGGGTTCGAGTGAACCTGAAAGGGAGTTTTGATAACTACGACAGGAACATAGATTCGTTATGAGCTATCTAATTAGGCGTTCTACTTTACAAGAGTTGATTTTGATCTTGTAATTGCATAATTGGATCGACAAGGATGTCTAGGTGCCGAATGTTGCCGCTAGCGATGGCAAAAAAGTTCAGAGGCTCGGCTCAGGCTCGGTGGAACCGAGCCCCACTTTGGGGAGTCGGCTCGAGCCCGAGTCGGCCCCTGGCATGGGCGAGCCAATATTAAAAAGTAAATAAATAAATAAAATTTTTTTTAAGGCAGCAAGAGTAGGCAGCTATTTTTAGCTGCCTGCAAAGGTAGCTAAGAAAAGAAAAAAAAATCAAAAAATCGAGCCGGCTCGGCTCGGCTCGGCCGCTAAGGCTCGGGCCGAGTCTCATTTTTTTGGCCGGGCCCGGCTCGGCTCGTTGACACTGCTAGTTGCCGCACTAAACGACTATGTC